CCTAGGCTTTGAAGAGAATCCAGCCTCAGACTTTGAATCCAAAGGGGGGTGGGACTGATGTGCACTCAGAAGCCATCACCTCCACCTCCCATGACTGTCTGCCTCTTTAAAATCATAAGAACATTCCAGATCAGTGGTTCTCAACCTGAGACAATTTTGCTCCAACCTCTACCAGGGGCATTTAGCAAGATCTAGAAACATTTTTGGTTGTCATGATTACAGAGGTGCTACTGAAATTAGTGGGGAGAGGTCAGGGATGCTGCTAAACATCCTGCAATGCACAGGACAGCTCCCCCTCCCATTCTACCCCAACACACAACAAAGTATCATCAGGTCCAAAATGTCAATAGTGTCAAGGTTGAGAAACCCTGTTGCAGAATGAGACCCATGTAGCCAGGACCCTGCCTCACGGCTATCTATCCAGAGTTGCTGTCAAAAGTATTATCCAGACACTCCCTCCACCCCTCTAGATCATGCTGACAAGTCAGTAATCTCCAAGTGGATCTAAACTCCTGACCTGATGCTCCTTGGTTCCCACTTGTACTACCCTGAGCTCCCAAGCAGGGGGCTGAATGCATAGACACTCTGGGGGTGGCTTCCTGGAAGAGACCAGGGCTGAAACCTGAACACTGTGCAGGATCACAAAAGGCAGCAGTAAAGGAGAGGACATGTCCAGTGGCCGGAACAGGGTAAATGAGGCAGCAAGGTGGGAATAAGCCCAGTGGACCCCTCCCCACAAGGACAAGGTACTCCTCAGGACTAGTATAGTGGGTATGTGCAGAGCAGCAAGGACTTCAAGGAGTCCAATTAGTGGGCGACAGGTTTCTATTATCAGTGCAAAACAGTGTGTGCACACGATGTACGTGCACACATGTACTTATTTATTTTCCTGAGGGAAGGACCCACAGCTTTCATCAGATTCTGAGGGGCCTATGACATGAAGGACCACTGTGCAGGATGCAGGCTCTTCACTGGGCTTCCTGCACAGGGAGCTCCTTAGATGAAGTGTCAGAGGAGGTCAGGCACTTCTGGGGAGTCCTGATACCCAGAAAAACCTGCAGAGTAGTAGACACAGAGGTCCAAGCAGTGGGAGGCTGTGGGGCTTGGATCTTACGTTTTTGCCCAGCTGTAGGGACTGTAAGGATGGGCGAGTTTATCACATCAACTGTCTTGGAAGGGCCTCTAAGAATGGGTAGGGTGCCCACTCCTCCCAAAGGGCAGTTCAGCCAGCCAGTCAATGCAGAGCCTGGAGTGCCCAGCGGGTACAAGGACAGGTAGCAGAGGATACCCTTCCCCATAGACGGACACTTACATCCCATGGCTCTGTAGCCCATGTCCTTGGCAACTACCACTACACTGGGCCTGAGAGATGAAGGTCACTTCACTCACTCATTCATACATATGCCCTTCTCTGAGGAAATGGAATGTACATGCAATGTGTGTACCTACATTGTGTGCGCACACTGTTCTGCACTGATAATAGAAACCTGTCGCCCACTAATTAGACTCCTTGAAGTCCTTGCTGCTCTGCACATACCCACTATACCAGTCCTGTGGAGCACCTTGTCCTGGTGGGGATGGGTTCACTGGGCATATTCCCACCTTGCTGCCTCACTTACCGTGTTCAGGCCACTGGACATGTCCTCTCCCTTACTGCTGCCTTTTGTGGTCCTGCCCAGTGTTCAGATTTCAGCCCTGGTCTCTTCCAGGAAGCCACCCCCTGAGTGCCTGTGCATTCAGCCCCCTGCTTGGGAGCTGAATGCTTTGGATCAAAGGATGGTCAGCCTATGAGGGTAGTCAGGGTCTGCGCTTCCTGGCAGGACAGACAGGAGTCTGGTCCCCCTCCCCAGTCAGTGGCTCCTGACACTCCACTCAGAACATAGCTCCACCCTGCCCCCACAGGCCCTCTGATCTGAACCCCAAGTAGAGGCAGGTGTCAGGAGCTTTTATGAGATACACAGAGTGTCTGTGATGTCCACGCAATGCAAGAGCCAGATGGCTTATTTCTCAAAGACTGTGGGCCAGGCACAGACCACAAAAGACTTAAAGAACTAATTGGCTACTGATCTTGTGACAAGCACCATGCCATTATTAGGGCATAAATTCGGCCCTTCCTTCTAGGTCTGCATTGTCCAATATGGTAGTCACTAGCCAACTGTGACTATAGAGCACGTGAAATATAGAAAGTCGGAGTTGAGATGTTCTCTAAGTGTAAGTAAGATACATACCGGATTTTGAAGACAGTACAAAAAAAGAATGTAAAATGTCTCATTGTTTTAATATTGATTACATGCTAAAATGATTATTTTGTATATATCAGATTAAACAATCATCCTGCCTCATTATAGAATGTTTGTGTCCCCCCCAAATTTATACGTTCAAGCCCTAACCTCCAATGTAAAGATATGTGGAGACCTTTGAGAGGTAGATAGGGTTAGAGTAGATCATGGGGCCATTAGGTCATAAGGATGAGATTAGTGGTCTTAAAAGAAGAAAAGATAAGTTTCTCTCCCTCTCCCTCTCTCGCACCCTCCCCCTCTCTCTTTCTCCAGCCCTGTCACAGAAGGAGGTAGTGAAAAGGTGGAGGTCTGCAAGCCAGGAAGAGGGCCCTTACCAGAACTCGACCATGCCAGTACCCTAGTCTCAGACTTACGGACTCCAGAACTGTGAGAAAATAAATTTCTGTTTAAGCCACCCAGTCTATGGTATTTTGTCATGGCAGCCAGAGCTAAGACACAGTTGTTTCTTTTTCCTTGTATTAACATGACTACTAGAAAATTTTAAGTTATATAGCTGGGCACCATGGTGCATGCCTGTAGTCCCAGCTACTCACAGCTACCCAGGAGGCTGAGGCAGGAGGATCGCTTGAGCCCTGGAGTTTGAGACCAGCCAGGGAAACACAGCGAGACCCCATCTCTTAAAAAAAAAAAAAAAAAGACAAGTTTACAAGTTTAAGATATATATGGTTCACACAGTATTTCTGTTGGACAGCACTATTCCAGATCTTCTTTCTATCAGAGCATTGTGTGCTGCAGGAGTGGAGGTAATTCTAAACCAGAAGCCAGAAGCTTGAAAGAAGGGCATCCTTGCTGCCAAGGGAAGAGAAGGGCCAGCTCTGCCCCAACCTGGATGTGGGGCAGCTCTTTTCCCATAGTTCCACACAGGGCAGGGTAGTGGCCACCAGAGGACTGACTGGTGTAACCATAAGAAACATCCAGTTACTCTACCTTCCTCTCAGGGTAGGAACGCAGATCCTTGGAGTCTGACTCTGGCTGCCCCCTACCAGGATACACTGCTCAGCACTGCCCAAGCTAGGAGTGGGGAGCAGAGGAAAGAGGAAAGAAATAGTGCTTCCAGGGGCCCAATGCCTCCTGGACCTGCCTAATGAAGGAGGTAAGCCAAACTGGAAGGGCCCAAGCACGTCCGGGGATTAAGTACCCAGGGGGTCCAGAGGCAGCCAGGCGGGCTGCTGCATGCCAGCACCTTGCTGGCCGCCCTCCCTTTAGCAGACCCACGCCTTCCCTGGGGCGTGGAAAAAGCATCCCAAAGGGAAGGGGAAAAAGCATCTCAAAGGGAAGGGGACAAAAACGAACAAAAAGTTCAACAGGACCATCACTTGGCCTCCACCACACAGAAAACTGCTCCAGGAGAGCGGCGACGCCACCTCCTACAGGGTCCTGAGGTACCAGTGAAGTGGTCTTTGCCCTCTGGTCCCCGCACTCAGGCTACGCGCTCCCACCCCACTCGAAAACTCACTCGCTTTAGGCGTAAACTAAGCCTCATCACTTTGCAAAGGAGGGGGCAGAATGAAGGTGAGGATGGGATGGGATGGAGATCCCGGATCCACACCCCCGCAGGAGCCTGGGGACCCGAGCCCCGCCCCTGCACACCCAACCCCGCCCCTCGCGGGTTTCCCAGACTCTGGGCTGCTGCCACTGCGGGCGGCGGGGGACCCGCGCTGCATGTGTAATGGGGGCTGGGAACAAAGACGCGCAGGACCTGGCGGCCGGGCCACAGGGTAACAGCCGCCCCGACCTTCTCGCAGGAGCCTCAATGCCGGGCTACCCACGTTTCCCAAGACTGCCCGGAGCCCGTCCCAGTGCGCCCACCTGGGCTGCGCGCACCCTGGCACTATTCGGAGAGGGAAATCGGTGCTTCGGCCTTGACGGAAAACAGCTCTCCCGGGGGAACTCCGCGTGTATCCACCCGCACCCACATAGCCCCGAGAACACACGCGCCAGCCAAACACCCCCAACCACAAGACCGCGGCCGCCGGCGAACTAAGCGAGGGTCACCCAGCCCCGCCACTTGCCTCCCAAAGGCCCAAGCGAACGCGAACCTGTTGGCTTAGCTTTTTACCCCACCTCCCCTCCCAGGTCCCCAAAACAAATCAGTCCCGCTAGGCGACGGCACTCTGCGTCCTGGGGCCCACCGCAGGGAAAGCGGGAGCAGGTGGGAGCCAGCACCAACAGCCCGCCGTGCAGGCGACGCGACGCAGACTGGTGGGATGGGGTACAAGTGACTCCTCTGGGCTGCGTGAAGCCGCCCCCTTCGCTTCTCTCTAGTTAGTGGCTCTGAGAGACGCGCAGCCCTGTCCCCACCGGCCACTGCTGCACCGACAATCCCTACCACCCCCGATTAGATCTGCCCACCCGCTTGGCCGCCTTCCACACGCTCAGGTTCTCCTCACTCTCTCCCTGGGTTCCACGCGCCCGCACAGCCTAAACCCCGACCCTAAGGCTCCGGCTCCCGGCCTTCATCTCGGGGGCGCCTAACGAACGAGAATCCCTCAGACCACCGCACAGACAAGACCGTTCTCCGAAGATCGGCAAGTCGGGCGCCCAGTGCGCCCCCAATTCCCGCCCCGGGAGGTGCGAGCTGGGCGCAGGTGGCACGGCGACGAGGCCGCGGGCCCGCCCTTTGTTGGTAAACACCGCGCGGCGCCCGTGGTCGGCCCCGCGCGCCCTCCCCGCGCCCCCCACGCCGCGCCCCGTCCTCACCGGCGCACAGCGATCCCCAGAGGAGGGCGAGGGCCGCCCAGGGCGCCGTCATGTTCCGCGGCGCCGCCCCGCGGACACCCGGAGCCCGCGGGCAGGGCCGCACGGCGCTCCCGGGGCGCGCAGGGCCCGGCGGCGGCTGTGCTCTCCTTCCCGCTCCTTCCTTCGGTCTTGTTCCCCGCGCGCTTCCTGCACCTTCGTCCCCGGGCAGCGTTCGGGCTCCAAGGGCCAGTCGGCGGGGCCGGGCTCAGGGCCGCTGCGGGCGGCGCAGGTTACGGCCCGGGCTCTGGGGCGACGCGGGGGCCGGGGGGCGTCGGCGGGGCACGGGCCGGGGCGCGCCCGACTCAGGCATAACGCGGCGGGGCTGGGCCCGGGCCCCGGGCGCAGGGGCCGAGTCCGGAGGGGCCATGAACGGGGGAGGGGTGGGGGGAGGGGACCTGAACCGAGTCCAAAATGGCTCCTGAGCGGCGGCCACGGAGCCGAGCCAGCGGGGAAACCCGGATGTTGGATACAAAGAGGCGGGCGAGCTGAGCGGGGAGGGGGAGGGGAGGCGGGCCCTCCAGCCGCGTGGTCCGCGCCCCCCTCAGGGGCGGGGCTCCAGAGAAACAACAACACAGAGGCCCCGCCCCCCCGTGGGAGGACGCGCGTGCACCACCTGGCTGGAGGGCAAGACTAGGCGTGCGAACTGAGGTGGGCGGGATTGGGCCCCTGACCGCTTTACCTGGACCCTGTGGTCAGCACACTGGGAATTCCTGCTCCGCGCGCTCGAGCCCACGCTCCCGATGCTTGCTACCCTGTGATCCCAGAGTTAATGGACAGCCCCGGAACTATGGCCTGGATTCCCCTCCGAGCCTCAGATTCCCCACCTGTGCAATGAGAGTTACAGTGAAGCGTGGGAGAATCGTATCTCTATTGATGGGCAAATTAACGGGCAGAAAAAGCCTGGCTTCTTTAAATTGACAAATGGTCCCCCACGTCTGCAACCCCTTGCCACACACACAAAAGCACAGCTGGAGATCCTGGAGAGTGATTTTTTAAATTCATCCAAGTAAGGGAGGGCGCAGAGTCCCGCCCCTCAGAGCAGCAGCAGGTGGGAAAGAGCCTCTGGCAACCTGCTTCCTCACCCTTACCCAATGTGGTTCTCAGCACCCCGCCCTTCATTCTGCATTTTCAAAACTGTTCTCAATTGCCTCCAGTCCCCGCAGTTGAAGATCTTGTCTAGCAAATGGCTCTGCTGTTCTCACTCCCAAGTTCCTCCTTGGTGGTGGGGGTGGGGGGAGGATGGTTCTGTATCTCAGATTCCACCCTCCCTGTCACACATCCAGAGCTTGGGAGGGTCGTGATGGGGCTCCCAGCTAAAGAGAAAAAGCCCATCATGACTTAAGGATGAGGCTCCAAGATCCTCAGATACGTTAACTGTCCTCTGGCTTCTCTTGACTTGCCACCGCCTTGCTCGGAACAGGCCGGGAGCAGGGCAAAAGCAGCTGAGAGGGAAATGGCACCCTGAAGTCCCGGTCACTTTACCTCTCTCAGCCTGTTTCCCCATAGGGAAAGCGAAGAGGTTAGACTCCCTCAGAGTTTTGCATCTTTTTAATGGCAGAAACCTATTCAAACACAAATGGTATGTAAAAGTCTGTTGTATAGAACATGTATTGCCCTGATTGACATTGAAATGAGGGTCAACCACCCCCAGTCTCCAAAGCACCAGGAACACCTCAGGGACCACGCTTTGGAGTTACTTCCCCACAAAGATTTCTGGGTCTCTAAGAAAGGGTCCTTTCCAGTTCTGGAAAATCCTATGTGAACAATGATGGCCCCTCCTTGCCACAATCCCTGTGGGTGACCCATAATCTAGGCCCTTTAACACAGAATTTAATGCTACTGTGTGCCAAGCAAGAAGTGTTGTATGGGATACCCTGGCTGTGTATAAGGTATTTGGTAATCCCACAGCAGGCCACAATGATAGACCCACAATGGTAGAGAAGGAGAGTTCATATCCAGCATTCAGTGTCTTTTCTAGGAAGGATAAATCTTTGTCTCCATTCCAGTATGAACTGGAAGGTATCAACTATAATCCATGTGCCAAAAGTTAGATTAGCTGGTTCCTCTCTTCTATGCCACACCAGGGGGGGTATCACAATAAGGGATCAAAGTAGTCCAAGTTGCTTGAATATCTGTGTCTTCCACCCTGCTCTCTCTCTGGGAACTCCAAAATTGTATATCCAACTGCCTATTTGACAACTCTATTTGGCAGCCTATCAGGCATCTCAAACTTGACCTAACCAAAGCAGAATTCCTCATTTTCCCTATAAACTTACTCCTCTGCAGTTGTCCCTATCTCAATGAATGGCATAAACAACAAGTCAGTTGCTGAACTCAAAACTTATTGAGTCATTCTTGATTCCTCCCATATTTACTCCATCAGCAAGTTGGCCTCAAAAACATATCCACCACCCAGCCACTTTTTTCCATATACAATACCACCACCTAACATCTTACATGTGGGCTGCTGCAATAGCAGTGAACAGGAAGGGATCTTAACTGGTCACCTGCTTTCATTCTTATCTAGCTAGAAAACATCTTCCGTAGAGCAACTAAAGTGAATCTTTTGAAAACGGAATTCATATCACATTATTCCCTTACTTGAAACCCTCCTGTGGCTTCTCCTTACACTGGCTAACAAAGCTCTAAGTGATTAGCTCCCTTACCTCTCCCATCTCACCACTATCAGACAGACACACTGGTCTGCTTTCTATTCCTCAGACACAGTAAGGTTAGTTCTGCCTTAATGCCCCCATATTCTCCATTCCCACTGCTGGAATATCCTTCCCTTGATTCTCTTAGAAAGCTGAAATCCATGTTGTTGAGCTCATGGAATTAGCCTGTATCGTTACCACCATTTTGTTCATAAGCCCATCAAGCAAATACTAGGCTGGCTGAGGAACATAACAGTAGATATCTGAAAAACAAGTTTGATTTGGTTTTTCTGTTCTTTTGAACTACAAGAGTGCTAATACCACATTTTTTTTTTATTTTTTTTATTTATTTTTTTTTTTTGAGACAGAGTCTCACTCTTTTGCCCGGGCTAGAGTGAGTGCCGTGGCGTCAGCCTAGCTCACACCACCTCAAACTCCTGGGCTCAAGCGATCCTCCTGCCTCAGCCTCCCGAGTAGCTGGGACTACAGGCATGCGCCACCATGCCCGGCTAATTTTTTCTATATATTTTTAGTTGTCTGATTAATTTCTTTCTATTTTTAGTAGAGACGGGGTTTCGCTCTTGCTCAGGCTGGTTTCGAACTCCTTATCTCCAACAATCCGCCTGCCTCGGCTTCCCAGAGAGCTAAGATTACAGGCGTGAGCCACCGCGCCCAGCTAATACCACATTTGATATCAGACATGGGTGACTGGAAGCTGAAAGGCATAGCAAAACAAAACAAAAACCCAAAAACTTAAATGTCCACTATAGAACTTATAGCAGCAGTGAGTTCTACAAGGCATTCTGTGCATTAGGACCACTCTTTCCCCTGGTCTTCTCCCTCCTTGATGATCAGGTCAGAAAACAAGGAATTGAAAAGAAACAATTAAGCAGGACAGCCTTCAGTATAATGCTAATGGAAGAAGATGGAAAACTATGGCATTATAAAAAGACTTGGTATGGATAAAATCATAATGCATTCTGTTACGGGGTTAAATGCATTAATTTAGCAAGGTGAACTCTTAAAGTAACTACAACTTGTGTTATTTATGTAGGGACTTCTTCATTTCAGAAAACAGAAATAGTCCCAGCCTCTTTCAGCTTCTGAGTGGTCCTGGTTAGACATATGCTGTAGTGAGTGATTTAGGTACAGCAGTATCACACTACCCACCTTCAGGGGGTACCATTTATATTGTATAATAGAGTGGTGGAGAGGTGCATTCTTTCTTTGGTAACACAATTCCCCCAAAACTTAATAAGCTATCTATTTGTTATTTCCCAGACATGGTTCTCAAACTGCTTTATTTCTTTGCCTTATTTCTTTTCTTCCTTCACTCCATATTTCTTCTCCTCACCCCCTCTCTTAACTTAATGGTGGCTACCTTAAGGTCAATTAAATGAATTGCCTTGGTAGAAAGGTAACACTTTCTAACTCTCAAGAGAGACCAACGAATGGAAAAATCCCAAAGCCTGAATGGCTTAAAACAACAAAATTTATTTCTTACTCACAATACATGTCCATTGTGCGTTGCCAAATGAGCTCTACTCATTGTAATAACTCAAGGCTGAGAGAGGCTACATTTTGATACATGCTGCTACTATTGCAGAGACAGGCAAAAGAAAGCAAGGTAAATTACATGCTGGCTCTTAAAACTTATACCAGATTCTGGGAAGGTGGAGGTTTGGTTGTTGGCTGCTTAGTTTTTGAATATTTCAAAATCCTCACACCAAAATACAGAGCAACTACATGGAAAAAACAGAAAATCCACGTACATTCGCAAATAAACTAGGTGACGAGGTTTCTCTCAAAACACCAAAATACAAGCAAATGGAGACAAATTGCAAACTACCAACAACAATAAAAGCTGCTCAGACCAGCATCTGTGCAAGAAGCAGTGGAGGTGCCTGAGAACAATAGAACCCCCAAATGGCTAAGAGGTATTCACTGGAAAGCATGGCTCAGTTAGCTGAGAATAGCAGGTGAGGCTGGGAGGGGTTTTTCCCAATCCAATAGCAAGGGAATGCAAGAAGATTCTGGTAAGGATGGAAAGCATTCTTAAAATTGACCCAGCTAGAGGCCTCCCATTTAGGTCAGAATCTGACTTTGAGGAGATACTGTTGGAAGTGGAATCAAAATTGAGCTGGAAAATACTTTTACTTCCAGCCATCACACAATAACTGGGATGGTGTTTGCCCTTCTGCCATAGCAACAAGAAAAATGAACAAAATATAGGAGGCAACTAATTGTGGACATTGGACAATGCTGTAATCCCAGAGAAAAAAGAAACAAATTAAGTGAGCCTTATGATTGCCTCTGCTTTCTGCCTGGAGATGAATTTGAGTCTACTATACAGTGGGGGGAAC